TCCTTCCCCCTTCCCTCCATTCTCCTTTAAAAAATAAAAAGCAAAATGTAGTATCTGTAACATAGTGGGGGTTTTTTTTAGGTAACTAAACAGAAGAGAAAAAATGAATACTTTGTATTCCATATACAGGGTTAGGCCTGAGTGAATCTGTTTCTTCAACTGTGAAACGGGAAGAATAATAATAATATGATGACGATGATGATGATGATACCTTTTATAGAGTTTGTTATGAGCCTTAACTGAGATGATGCATGTAAAATGCTTAGTTAAGCTTTTGCCACATAGTAGTGTGTCAGCTGTGTTGCTATTTGTTGTTTTGGTGGTAGTGGTTATTGTATTTCTGACACCTAACATAAGTTCTTTTTTTAAATATTAAATATTTTGTTGAGTGGAATCAAGGTTTATTTTTAAATATGCCACTAATTTTGTAGTTTAGAGATTTAAAAGTTAAAATTAAAGCTTGCTTTTTTAACCAGAAAGAAGTGTCTCATATATTTCCATCCAATAGTGATGGTGATGTTTCTGTTTTGTGGAACTGGGGTGATTTTTTTTTCATCTGTCCCAAAACCTATGCTCTTTTCGTGTAGCTTATATAAAGTTAAAGTATAAATTGAGTGCTTCCTGTGTTTCAGGGACTGTTCTGAGTGCTTTACATTTATGAACTAGTTATTATTATTCTTATCTTTAGTTGAGACAGCTGAAACATGAAAGGGTTATAAATTGCCATAGTTACCTAGCTAGTAAGAGACAGAGTTGGAATTTCAACCTCTAGTCTGCCTCCAGAGTTTGTGTCTTTAACCACTGTGTTCTAATGCTTTTATTATCCACACTGTCTCTTATTTGTCTTATGCTTCTATATAAACTTATCTTAGGTAACTTTCTTGGAGTTTTAAGTTTTTTTACAGTGCCAAGTACTATGTGTGTTATCTATAATATAGTAATACATATTTGTGCTTGACTGAATCAGTAAATGTGATGGCATGGAAAAATTATAATTAACACAGTACAATCATTGCCTGATTCTTCTTGGCTTTGATTAGTAGCTTTTTCACTGTAGGTCCTCTTAGAACTATCTATACCGAGGATTGGCTATTTTGAAGCAATCTACTCTAATACTACAAAAATTGGGGCAAAGAAATTTCTTAACAAATCTATTTATATTCCTAAATTAATTTTTTCTTGCTAGTACTCACTCAGAAATATTGGTGTGTTTTATTTAGAGTTCTCCCCCTTTTTTGGGTCCCTCTGTTAAACTGTTTGTTGGTGTGGGGGTTTTTGTTTTATTTTAATGTTAAATGGCATTGTGACATAATTCAGTTGTTTAGAGATTAAGCCTTAAAGAATTTGGGCGTACGAGTCATGATAGTGAAATTTGCTATTGAATTTGGCCTCTAAAACTTGAAATAGTAATGATCTTGAAATTTTTTATTTGATGTCTTTTTCAGAATTCTCCACTTTACCAGTACTTACAGGATCTGGGACACACAGACTTTGAAATATGTTCTTCTCTGTCACCAAAACCAGAAAAATGCACAGCGACAGAGGGACAACAAAAGCCTCCTACAACAGCCCTTCCAAAAGTAAGGAAGCATGCTCATTCTCTATGACTTAATCTTTTGTTCTTTGCCTTACGAAAAACAAAAACACACACCTTGTAAGTACCTCCATGTCCTCCCCACACTGGTAAGACGCACTGGCTGCCTCCTGCGCACGCCCCGACCTGGGCTGGGGCCGGGGCTGCCACCGAGGTCTGTGCCCTTGACCGGAATGGACCCCGAGACGCTTCCTTTGGCCGGTTCTCTAACCACTGAGCAACCGGCCAGGGCAAGACTTTTTTTCTTATTTCATCAGTAGTGCAAAGCTGTGGGTTTAGATAAACACGACTCCTCGCTGTTCTGGACCACGTGGTGGGTAATTTGTATGATAAATGGAAATGAATGTGGTTGAGGATCAAAGTATATTATTTATTTAAATAGTGAAGCTCTCTGGAGAGGCCCAGGAAATACACTAAGACCTCAATGAGAGCCCAGCTACTAGGACTCTTACATTAACTGGAATTTTTTTTCTTTAAATTTTTTTTTTAAAAGAGCACAAATTACAAGAAAGCAAACTGATAAGGTATTTCATAAACAGTTTCAAGGCTATATGATGGAATGGGTACACTTCCCTCAATTTCTGATGCCCTTAGGTCTGCAGTATTGTACACTTTCACATAGCAAGTACCGCATGCTCGATGTAGAGCATCCTGAGGCTAAAATACTAGAGGAAGCTCCATTAAATATGTTTTATAAAGTTCATTACCTAATACATTCATTTATGTTCTATTAGACATTTATTAAAATAAAAAATATTCTAGTACATTTAAGTTTTAATACAAAGAATTCTAATAGAAAAAATATAACCAGGGTACCTCATTTTTTGAGCATTCTAGTTTAATCAATGTTTTATTACAAGACAGTTATTTTCAGGAGGTGGTTTTTGAAAGTTTTCAGTTACTTATTTATTCTGTGGTGCTAGAGGTCTTTTCTCCTGTTCTTTGAAAAACCCCTAAAATGTGAGGTAACCAGGCTGGGCCCATTTGCAACAGCAGAGTAAATATCAGAGAAATGGTTTGGGTGTTTTTGTTTTGTCTTTTTGACTAACACCCACAGGGTGGGAGTTAGGGGAGTTAGAGCTCATGTGGTTCAGAACCAGTTGGCTAGTCCTCTGTAATCAAACACTTCCTTCTCCTTGCCTCTTTCAAATATAAATGTTCCTGGGAAGAGTTTTAAAAGGAAAACCTAAAGATATATCTAATAGGTTATTTATAGGTTAAAGCTTGAATTTGAGATTACCTGGCAAGAAAAGACAAAGAAAGGGCCAAGGGATAATCTCCCATTGAACTGGAGCAGGTGGGGTGGGGGGGTGATGCAAAGTTGTGTTCTGTAGGTTTTCAGCCCTTTCATTTAAGACAGATATTTTTACATATAGAAATATTAATTTATAAATAAATAAAATGAGAATTTAAAATTTCATCCCCTCAGAAACTGAGGAATAGTAAAAAGCATAGCCAGCGGGTGTTTTTCAAAATTACCACATGTCTAGAAAGTCTGTTTAATCTTCATTTACGCATTTCAACTGTATGGACTATAGTTTTCTAAAATGGGAGTTTTTATAAATCTGGGGCAACTAAATTTTAGAAAATTACTGTACTATTTAGTTCTTCTCAGTGAATATATTTTTAGAATTCCCTTCAAAATTCTGTTCAAACAATGAAGTATCAGTTATTTTTTTTGGAAAGCAAACTTTTTTGTATACGAGTTCATGATAAAACGGCCCTTAGGACTAATTGTCCTTTTTTAACTTTATTTTTTAATATAANAGAATTCCCTTCAAAATTCTGTTCAAACAATGAAGTATCAGTTATTTTTTTTGGAAAGCAAACTTTTTTGTATACGAGTTCATGATAAAACGGCCCTTAGGACTAATTGTCCTTTTTTATCTTTATTTTTTAATATAATTGNTTTTTTAACTTTATTTTTTAATATAATTAAGTACTTACCGAGTAGTCTGTACTGGTATCCCCACCATGCATATTTAGTGTTTGCATATTTTTCTGGTTTTTTTCCTGTGATTATTCTTTTCTTTTTTTAAAGAATCACTGTCTTGCCTTAATTAGTTTTAACCCTTACGCTTTTAAAAATCAATCAGAAGGCTAGGGTGTAGGAGAATCATTTTTCAACTCTTACAGATGCATATTTAAGATTCTTCTTTGGAGTTAAATAGGCTCTTTACTATTATAAGGTTATTTCTGAGTTGCAAAGACTCCATGTTTCTCCCTATATTCCCCCATGCAGCCTTGGCTGCCACAATCAGACAGACAAAACTCAATGGGGACCCCTTTTTGTTTGCATCTGCACTGGAACCTTAGCAGCAAACAGTAACTGCTCCAGGTTTGTCAAATAGATGCATTTTCTACGATTATTCTTAAACGTTCCCTCGGTAAAGTTTAGCATCAGACCTCTTCTCTGCTTGGTCTGTTTTCTCTGAGAGATCCCCTCTACTTTCTTACCTTCATTGGCCATTTATGTCCATTCCCCATCTTCGCTGAGCTCCAGATCTTTGTTAGACATTTCTACCTACCTGTGCCCCAGGAAGCTCAGATTTAACATGTCTAAAACAGAGCTTTCCTCAGCACCCTGCAAACAAAAATTTTTTTAAATATTTTTCAGATTACTACTGTCTTAGTCATCTTACAGTGTCCCGTCACTCCCACATTGATTTGGTAAAAAATGATATATCAGGTCAGCCTCTAGGTCTCTAAAATCTAACCCTAATCATTACTGTTTTTGCTCACCTAGTGCAGGCCTATGTCATTATTTAGCTGGAATAATGTCCTCCTAATCATGCTTCTTGGCTACAGTTATTCCCTGCCAGTATAGCCTCTGCACTGTTGCCAGTTATTTTTTTCTAAAATGCTGATTTTTTATTGTTTCACTTCCTTGCATAAAAACCTTAGGTGGTTCCTCACAGCCTGCAGGGTAAAATCTGAATTATTGTGGCATATAAGACCAAAATCCTTGAAAACCTATTGCAGTGTACCTTTTTAACTTTATTATAATTCCCATTTTCCCTTCGGTCTTAGCTGTCCCAAAGTATGCCACCAGGCCCACGGCATGTTCTTCATGGCTCTCTCCTGTAATCACCCTGTTCTCTTCCTGGAGTGTTCTAACTTCCTTTGTTGTTAAATTTCTACTCATCTTCTAGGGCTTAGTTCCAGTGTTATCTCCTCTTGGCCTCTTCTTTTTCCACACTTTTCAGACTTTCCATTGGTTTGTATTTATTTGTACTGTCTCTTCTGTACTAAGTTCTTGTCAACAACAATTATGTATATTCATGTTTGTTCCCTTGATCCTTTTTCAGTAGCTGAGATATAATAATCACTCAGTGAATGTAAACTCCACTTACTGGCATGATCAGGAAAAGTGCTCTTAAGGTATATTGAATTTTGGAGTGATTCAATAATATGCTTTTTATTTCAATGAGACAGTTTTTCTGAAATTAAAATTTTCTTTTGCCTTAATATTATGGAATGAATATTCTTAATATTTTGAGAACTTGGAGAACTCTATGGTTTTCCTCTAAAATACATACCCATCATCATCTTGACATACATAGAGTGTACCCAAGATAAATGGGCTGCATCAGGATGACTTCTAACAGCTCATTAAAAGTCACATTTTCAGGTCTCATTTCAAACTTACTGAATCTGAACCTTTAGTCTGGGGGCCCAGGAATATGTTTCTGACTAAAATAGAATCCAAGTGATTTTGATGTGCAAGTAAATTGGGGAACTAATAAGGAGGCTGGGACATACTGACAAAGCATATAACCTGGGTGATTTTCTTCCTTTTCCTGATAAAACTTGTGATTAAGTAGATGTAAGTTATTTGAAGTTTTTCTGCTCTTTGGGTGTGGTTTAATAATGCTATCTAATGTCATTCATCTCCTTCAGCGAGGTGTCCTGTTAAAAGTGGCTGAAACCATCAAAAGTTGGATTTTTTCTCAATGCAGTAAGAAAGATGATTTACTTCACAAGTTGGTAAGAGTTTGTTTTACTGTTTGTTTTTGTTTTTTGGTCAATTTTCAGGGCTTCAGTTTATTAGTAAGGGAATTAATGAATCAGAATTTGTCTTGCTACTAATTTGGGCAATGATTGATTTTGATTAGCAATTCTGAGCAGTTCTTCAAAAGGAGACTCTCCACTTCATGAACTGTTAAAGTTGTTTGTATCACCTTAAAAAAAAAAATTCTCCAATAACTGGGGATCTTTGAATTTGGACTCATTAGTCTGATTTCATAGTTCTAAGAGGTTATGAGCCACTTAGAATAGAATCTTGGTAGTTATTGAAACCTTATTTGTTGGATTACTAATTGCCTGCTGCCACCTTTCTCCAGTGACAGCTATTCCTCTCAGTGGAGGAGGGAGTAGGAATATATCCATTGGTGGGGTCTTCTCCCTTTTCATTAGGAACTTGACTGTCTCTTATCCTTAGCCCACAGCCAGTGATTACAATAGTTGGGCAAAATCAAAAGTGGTTCCTACCTAATTTATTTATCATTAATCTGACAACTTCAGATTCTTTTATTTTGTTAATTTATTTACCATTCTTTGACAGCATCATATTTAAAATTTAGTCTCTCAGGACAGTAAATCACAGAATTTTCTGAAGACCTGGAATAGTCAACATTGAGAGTCTTTGTGATTCCTGTGAGGCTTGCTTTTTTTCTTCTCTCTGCTGCAATATAGCTGTTATTTTACCTCTTGACCCCCAAGAGAGGGAGTACTTAAGTTTTTACATCCTAACAATACAAAATTGAAGCTATGAAGTTCTTCTCATGGCTCTCAATAGGAGAAATCAGGTTACAAGTAAGCAAGTTTTTGGGATCCTCGCTGGCCTAAGACCCTAAGATGATAATTATTATTCTCATAAATTATCAGTTATAAAAGAAATGTTTACAAAGTGCTTTCACATTTTGATTTGGTAATCTAAACACTGTAAGGTTTTCTGCCTTTTTCCAGTTGGAAATCCTGATGTTCAGACAGCTCAGTTTGGTTTAAGAATACTGACTAAATGAATTGTTCAAAAATGTTCAGCTAGAAAGTGATAGAGTCCGAATTTGTATTCAGATCTCCTGGTTTCAAAGCCCAGGCTCTTTACTAATAATGCACTACCTCTCTAGCTTGATTATTACTGTTTTGACTGACTAAAGTTGCGTTTTTAGCTATCCAAAAGGGCACGTTCTCTGTTCAGGGTTTCATCTTTGTAGGTGTGTTGAGGTCAATGAAGTGTCTTGTCATCTACGTAGAATGTCATCTCTGTCCAGGTGGAGCCATCCTCATTCTTCAGTGATGCTAGGACTGTGGTAAGGAATACGGACCCATATACATTTTTCTGTGGCTTAATCATAGTCTGGATAGTCCTGATCTTTTCATTCTTGGTTCTTTGTCACTGGCCACATGTTTTATGTTTTCTTCTTAAAAATTAAAAACATTCCTCTGTAGCAACTATGATGGTAGTGATATTAGCGCTTTTAAAGCACTTTTTAGCCTATAAAGTGCTTTCACACGTTATCTCATTTGACCCTTGTCAGCTTTATGAAGTAGCATTGTATATGAAAAAGTGTGTAAGATCTGTGAAGTGTATCAACACATGAATAAATTCCCTTCTCCATCCCTAGGGCAAAGATAGAGATCTCTATTCTTTAGCTGTGCTTTCATCCCTTTTATTCCATCCAGGCAGAAATCTTCCTAAGTTACCTTCTCACACTTCTCTATTTAGATCCCAAAAAAGATCCCTATTATCTGTCATATCAAAACCAATTAAGCACTTCAGCATAAAAGAATCTGCATAATTTGGCCCTAATCTACCTTTCCAGTCTTATCCACCAATATTTTCACAGCCCAGCCAGTCTTCCTTTTCCTTTATTTCATACCTGTTCTGTATGTCTCTGTTTGTGCTATTAGACGGTGGTGGAATTCCTTCCTTTTTTCTCTCTATTATTGGAATCTTTTCAATAAACTGTCCTAGCTTTTCCCCAAGGTCTTTCCCAGAAACTTCAGCCCACTGATCTCTTATTTTCTATGGCAACCTAGTAATAATTATCTATGCCATGATCTGTAAGTTTTTGTATATTATTACATATGCTTTTTCTGTTGTATTTTAATTATTTCACGCATACTAACAACACTAGCAGCTAACACTTACATAGTATTTACTATGCACTAGACATGCTTACTATTTTACAAATACTGACTTTTTTAATCCTCACAACAATCCTATGAAGTTGGTGCTACTTGTTTTGCAGATGAGGAAACTGGAACAGAGTGGGGGTAATAAAGGGTAAAGGGGGCCAAATATATAGTGACAGAAGATGTCTTGATTTCAGGTGGTGGGTACATTTCAAACCTATATGACCCTATTGACCAGTGTCACCCCAATAAATTTAATTTAAAACACACAAGAAAAGGAAACTGGAACAGAGAGGTTGTTAACTTGCTTAAGTTGTGGAACCAAAATATAAACCTAGGTACTAACTAGGTTGTGGTACTCAAACTTGTGGAGGGTGAGCAAAAGTTCACACGGTTTACCTCCCTGCTGCACAGAGCACCCAACTATTCAGATGATATGTACTAATATTTAAGTCTGTGAGAATTGGTACTTTTTATTTATTTATTTAAATACATCTTTATTGATTTCAAAGAGAGGAAGGGAGATGGGGAGAGAGAGATAGAAACATCAATGATGAGTCATTGATTGGTTGCCTCCTTCACACCCCCTACTGGGAATCAAGTCCACAGCCCAGGCATGCGCCCTTACTGGGAATCGAACCACAATCTCCTCCTGGATCATAGGTTGTTGCTCAACTGCTGAGCCATGCCGGCCGGGCAGCATTGGTACTTTTTAAATGTTGTCATTTGTTTGAGACTTGGACCCCAGTCTAAATAGGGCTATTGTGACGTTTCTTAATTTAGCAGGTACCTATTTTCCCAGTATTTTCATTGCCATATTGCAACACAGTTTCCATATTTTCTGCTATTCTTATTTTTATAATTAAAGAGTAATACTTTATAATTTATCCTTAAGAAAAACTTAATTCATTAATCTGATTCAATTTTACAGCTATAATTACCAGAATATAGTTCAAGTTCTTCCTTTGTAGAGGCAATCTAATAACTAAGATAATATTACTTTAGTTATTTGACCTGTCTTGGTTCTTTTTAAGTTTATTTGTATGTGTAGATGATTGTAGGTTGTTAGTTTGTCACACTCTTGAATCAAATATTCCCAAAGCTATTAATACTGTGTCAGACGGAGCACATAGTTTTGGGGGAAATATTAGCCCAATTTTGGAGACAGGTTTGATGCCAAGGAATGGTGTTGAAGAAAGGTAATTAAGCAGCATGTCTATAAGAGAGTCTGTGAGCTCCCACTGCATTAATAGCTCTTCCCCTCTCTGAGCCTTACCTTCGTTTAGTTAAGCTTCTTTAAACTTACCCCTATATGTAGGTATACAGAGGTCTCATAAAAGGTATGATTTAAAGCTTTTATAACAAAAGCTTGATTTTTTAATACTTGTGTTTGAATGTGTCCATGTCTGATTGGGGATTCCAAACCAAATAGTAAGACCAATATGTGAAGATTTATTTCAAAGATTACTTGAAAATTCACCGTGTTCCACCTCCTGCCCCTCTTGCTTCCCCGCTCCGCCCAACAGTAGTATAACATGAGTTGTGCTGTTCTCTCTTTAGGAAAGTAGGATGGGATATCAAATAATTAAGTGGTTTCTAATGTTAGAATCAAGATTATAATAAGAGACAGGAGGCAATAGTTCAAATATGAAACATAAAAGTGCTGCAGAGGTACATGCAGAGTGTGTCAGTAGATAGTGAGAAAGCCACATCAGGCTAAAGGAAGACGAACATCCCATTGAGACAGTGTTCTTGTTTTGGACTAGGGAAAATAAATATATCAAAATAGGCCTAATACTAAAAGTATTCTTTTCCTTCTCCAACGGTGCGGTGGTGTTGATAACGCTCAAGTTTGATAAATGGGTCACTGCATTCCTACCGAGTCCCCATTATGCTCAGCTAGGGTTGGACTCGGTGGGGTGGGAATGGTTAACTGACCAAGAGGAGCAAACCCACTGCTTTCAAACCCTAGGCCTAACTCTTTCACTTTAATTGCTAAAGGCTTTGTCCTTTAAAACTTTTCTTTATTTTTATTTTACAATAGGATCACTCTATTCCTAAATGTAATGAGAAATAAAACAAACTTTCTGACAAAACAGTATATACAGTGAAGCAAAACCGACTACCAGAGACTTAGGCTTTGAAATCAGAATTCTGGAAAGTTACTTAGTCTCTTTGGGCTCTGGTGTCCCCTAGAGGATGGGGAGGAGGAAGATGTGATCACAGAGTTGCTGTGAGAACTAACCTGTCTGCTCTACCACTGCTCCTCATCTGCCTCTCCACCATGGGCACTGCGTAAAACTCACGTTAATGACTTGCAGTTCTAGCGAAGCTTTCATTCTGTCTTCTCCAACTCTTCCATCTGGTCAGTTCTTGTTCCTACTTTAAGACTCAGCTCAGGCATCACCTCTTTTACTTTCTCTGACTTTATTGCAAGTTTTGGTTGCTCTATGGCATTTTCATAATACCCTTGGTAGACCTCATTGTGCTTCTTTGCACATTAGGTTGTAACTTTACTTTTTAGTCCTTCATTAAACTGTGAACTCTTTAAGAGTAGAGACTTGTATGTCTTGTTCATTTTTTTATGTCCTTGGTGTCAAGCATGGTGCTTCATATGTATATTTCTTGATAGAGGGATAGAAAGAAAAGAGGGAGGAATAAATGAGCTGGTATATGTGAAAGCATTTTGCAAACTATAACTGCTATGCACATGTTAGTGTGATTTTATGTTACATTCCTTAATGATTATTTTTAATATCTGAATGTCCATTTTTAGAAGGCCTTGATCCTGCTGATGTAATTCTTAGATACTGGCTATGCCATTACAGTATCCAGGGACAGCATCTTATGTTACAGAATTATCTTTTCCATGTGTGTTCCAGCAATTTAATTTATTGGGCTTGACTAAGGTTTATTAATCTGAGTCACTTCATGTCTTTTTATTAAAAATTTATATTTCACATCTGGTGGCTCAATAATATCCACCTCAATCTTTATTATTTCACATTTGCAGTGGAAAAAAAAAAACATACATCACACACAAGATAGATTGTACTGTTGTTTCTTCTTGGAGTTTATACTGAAAATAAATACCTCTAAATTTTATTAGCCCTTTAGGAGCTTAGCATTTAATATAAAATTATGTATGCATTTAATACCTCTCTTCTGGTCTTTTAATGGCAAGGATATTGGATTCCGACTCGACTCACTACATACCATCCTGCAGCAGGAAGTCCTGTTACAAGAGGATGTGGAGCTGATTGAGCTACTTGATCCTAATATCCTGTCTGCAGGGCAACCTCAACAACAGGAAAATGGACACCTTCCAACACTGCGCTCCCTGGCAACTCCTAATATTTGGTACTGTCCAGAAAACATCTGTCCTTTGCTTACACGTAGAGTATTCAGAGGAAATCCATCATCATGCTCCCCATCGCAAAGGCATTATAAATATTCGTACATTGTAGAATTGTAATTAATGATATGCCTACAGTTTTTAAAAAGTACCTTTCTAGAGTAAATACTTTTTAAAGTGAAGCTGGAAACAAATCCACTTTCAACTCAGTATAATTAGTTCTATATTTAACAGCCCAACAACAGGTATGACATGTGCCAAAAAGAATTTGTCTTACCTATATACCAATGTACCTGTGTGCATGTAGACCTACCTGGTTCTCTGTTTCTTTACAATTAATAGAGTGTGTCACAATCACACTGTAGAGACACAAGGGCTGGATGGGACATGGAGGTAAATGGTCATCTCTTGCTTTGTTGGCTGAGAAGAGATCATAGGGAACATAGTCTAATGAGTCACTATCCAAAAACTTTTCGACCACTTCAAATATTTGGATCTAATGAAGAAGTCCCAGGATAATCTGTTTAAAAAAGAGAAAGAGGAAGGGTAAGAAGGGATTATACAGGGTGTCCCAAAAAAATGTATACACACTTTGAAGAATTATAAAGGCAATGTTTATTAAAATACATTTCATTTTCAGAATGTAATATAATCAACTGCTAGTGTATACATTTTCTTGGGACACCCAGTATATATAGAACTGTTAATACCCTCTTCCTGTTAAAGCATGAGTTATTAAATGAGCTAAACCATTGTTCCATCTGTTCAAATTATACAGGCAATTACAGTCATTAGCCTCAGTGTTCTGAATTTATGTCATTCCTGTCACACTGACAACTGCTTCATATTCTATCAGAGCAAAGTATGATGTTTTCCAAACTTGTATCCCTCAGATATCATCATGAAGTAAAGCATATTATCCTTTAAAAATAAAAATATAAGAACTTAAAGGAGCTGCTAGAAAGAACCATAGGTTTTAAGGATTTTACTACTTTCAGTTTTCTTTAGCCACAAATGTGATTAATAAGCAACTATGAGGCCTGTAAATACTAGTAGACTTTTCTGTTCATACATACAAGTAGATGATGAGAGTTTGCTCTATGATATTACCAGTGTCATCTAAAAGTAAAGGATTCCATGGGAAATTAGGGCAGGCAAATATTTATTAAGAAACACTCTTACATGAGACTTTCTTTGTAGTTTGACTATCTTTAAGTATTGTTTTCCAGACACATCTCCCCTATGTTCACCTCTTTTTTATATATACACATTTTCATCAAAGCCTTCATTGCTTAAAAGATGTGTTTTAATCTATAAATTTGTAATTGACCTAAGTTAAAAAATGTATATACATTTTTAGTTCAGTTAAAGGAGTGTAAAAATACAAAGCTTGTCCATATTATGATCTATAGTGTAAGTATGTGTGTTCCAGATTTTTGGTGATGATTTAAAGTTAGATGACTTTATTCAAAACAGTTACTTATCAAGTATATATTATTTCTAATTGGAAAAATGCTTATATTTTCTTGAAATAATGTATATTTATCTTCAAATAATTAAAGTCTGATTTTAAGATAAAGGAACTCATAATACAGTTGAATATTAAAATATTTAATGTTAAAATTAGTAAAAATTAAATTTGTAAGATTGGATTTTTAAATCTGTAAATTTTTTTAGATTAAAGAGTCCATATCTTAAAAAAAAAAAAAAAGTCATGGACCTAGAAGGTATTATGCTGAAAGAAATAGACAGAGAAAGACAAATACTATATGATTTCACTTATATATGTAATCTAAAAACCAAAGTGAACAAACAAAACAGAAACAAACTCATAAATACAGAGGACAAACTGATGGTTGCCAGGCAGAAGGAGGGTTGGGGATCTGGGGGAAAAGGTGAAGGGATTAATAAGTTCAAATTGGTAGTTATAAAATAGTCACAGGAATGTAAAGTATAGCATAGGGAATATAGTCAATAATCTTGTAATAACTATGTATGGTGCTAGGATGGTACTTGAATTACTGGAGGAATCACTTGGAAATGATATAATTTTCTAACCACTATGCTGTACACCTGAAACTAATATAAAATAATATTTAATATTAACTGTAATTGAAAAAATAAATTTTCTAAGTCATTTCAGAAGGCACCAATTTCTTATGTCCTTTACCTAAACTTATTACTCAGATTTTAATACCTAAGGACCATTGTCTAGTTGCTAGATATTTTAAAACTATTTCACATGAATTTTTTTAATGTCATATTTTTAAGGCATATGTACAAAGAAGCTAGCATTTTACTTATTTTAGTAAACCTAATTTACTGATAAACTCATCTTTCTCTAGTCTGATGGGTTTTCTTTTTTTCTCTGTTATAGGGATATCTCAATGCTGTTTGCCTTCATTAGTTTGCTTATTATGCTTCCCACTTGGTGGATTGTATCTTCCTGGCTGGTATGGGGAGTGATTCTGTTTGTTTATCTGATCATAAGAGCTTTGAGATTATGGAGGACAGCCAAACTACAGTTAACCCTAAAAAAATACAATGTTCATTTGGAAAATGCAGCAACAAATAGCCGAGCTTTTACTAATCTTGTGAGAAAAGCTTTACGTCTCATTCAAGAAACTGAAGTCATTTCCAGAGGATTTACACTGTGAGTTCATTTTTTATTTTATTTTTAAATAATTCTTTTTTACTACATAGTTAAATTAGAATATTTATTACCTATTTTCATTTCTGTGTTGTGTTTATAGGAAAAAGTGGGTTTCTCTTTAGTACTTATTAAAGTCTATTAACTTTGCTAAAGGAATAAATATATGTTAGATTTAATTTGTAATATGATACTGCTTATCTACTTTGAGAAACCAAAGTGCTTTGAGAATCATGATTGTGTCTGTGGTACCGTGTAATTTTGTAAGATAATGTGGAAAGGGAGCTCACCATTGAACCCAGCATGCAGCTACCCAATAACTGCTTGTTTCCTTTACTCCCTGTCAGATGCTCTTTCCTCACTTTTGATAGCTATATCTGAATTAATTCATTTTGAAAAATCTTGCCATGTATTAATAATATTCTTTAGGTAAATGTTAGCAGATACTATGGCACCAGTACTCTCAAAATATCATACAAATATTGATGTTTCATATTCTCACGGAAATTAAATATTCACCACTCTAGCTATAAGTGTATTAAGCTGCAGGTTATTTATTCTATTATTAAAGGGAAAGATATTTATTGAGCACTAGTTTATTAGTTGTAGAGCAGATGTTCAAGTCCATACCATCTGGCTCTAAAGCTTGTTTCCAGTACACCAGACTGTCTGCTAAACACTAGCAGATGATAGTTGTATTGTCGTATATGTAATAATATATATAACATATAACCTTTGCAATCTATAGGTGGGAGACAGTATGGTGAAGTATATGGTGAAGAATAATTATTGCTCTTAATTGTAGTTAAATCTGGAAAATCATGAAAAGGGAGCAGAACATCTCCCTTTGGTAGTCATCACATCTTCTACTGTGCTCTGCTCTAGAACAGTACTGAAATAATCTTGATAAATAATATAAATAAAAGCTGTATCTGAAAAATCATGAAACAAGGAAGTGGAAGAATCTCCAGTGGTCATCTCATTCTTTACTGTTTTGTTCTGAAACAGTGTTTTAAACAATCCCGAGACATAAGAGAGATTTAATTACTTCCCTTTATGCTCAATTCAAAATGGAACAGTCCTTGGTATCTTAATTTTTGTCCTTCCATTGTGCACTTCTTTTTGATAGAGCATAACACATATTAAGTTGTTTGAGTATCAAGTTTTAAAAGTTAAAAATCACACTGAAAATAAGCTGCTTTCCATTCTTGACTTGCACAGCACTTTACTGAGAGGTCTGACTAGTTAAGCAGAGGGCTCTGTGTTAATGCTTAGGCATGTATAGAGGATTCTGTGCCTTTTGTCATGTCCACCTTAACAAACTATATGGATAGAATAGACATGAAGAGCCAAAATAGATCAGTTAGACACGGTTTACCTCCAGGTTATGACTTCTATCTGTTCAGATGCAGATGGGCAGAAGAAATATTGGAAAAAATTGTGCTTCACTTGTTTTTGTCTAACTGGATAACTGATTGAAAATAAATCTAAGCAATAATAGATCTTGAATTATAATATTTTTAGTTTTAAAAACTCATTAGTAAACAAAACAGTGGAAACAATAGTGCCATATGTTGAAAAAATGAGTACTGTTTTGTTCTGCCTTAATTTGTCCTCTAGCAAATAATTTAACCCTTCTTTGCTTCATTCCTGTATTTTAAAATAAGCCCATCAGTCATTGTCCTGCTTTCCTAATAGATTTTTTAATGCCTGAATATATTTTAGTTTGGTTTAACATTTTTTAAAGTTTTGAGTTAGATGTCTTGTTTTACAAATTTGTGGTTATAGTGCAAGAAATATATAAAATCCAATATTTTGTTTTACTGTTGGGAGAGCAATACTGGTTAAGTGGGGGGGGGGGACTATAACTATTATCCACTAATATGTAATCATTCATAGTTTCACTTATAAAAACCTAATGTATTATATGTCATTGTTGCAAATAGGTACTCCACATTTATCTTTTGGAAAGTGCTATGAAATATGCTTCCTCTTGAACAGTTTTGAGAGTAGCTGTGCTACTACATAGTAACCCTTACTTTGCCTTTCTACTTGCATTCCCCTGTTGGCCACTGGTCCTGTTATTTTTCTGCGTCCCCTACTTCATTTTGAGTAGGTAAGTGCCAGTGGCAGCAGGTGGGTAAGTCATTTTACCCTACTTTTATGAATGTACAGAAAGCATTTCTGTACAGTATTTGATCATTCTGTACAAGTGGCCAAAAATATGATTGATGAATATATGTGAATGCATATTAAGAATGTGGAAGTGTTTATAATTAAGGCTTTCATACTTACTGTGGATAAAGGTTTTGAAAACTAAATGTAAAGTAGTACCACTTGAGTATATTTTAGTAGGTAGAGTGTCTGTATAAAAAAGTTACAATTTTTTACATAAATATTCCCATATTTCTACTATATTTCAACTATAATTCTTTGTTTCTACATATCAGAGGAAGCCTTTACTCTTTGAGATTTGAACTTTCCACTTGTCTTTTTCTGGTAGCTGTATTTGTATCAGGGCAATGGCTATTTATGAGACCTGAGTGGGATTTGCTTATAATCATTTTCTAATGAAAAAGGAATTTTTTTCTAAACTTAATAGAATTATGGATTTAAGAAACAAAAACTTTAGGACACCTGTACAGTTGTATCACATTTTACTTTTCAAGTTTGCTTGACAGGGTCAGTGCTGCTTGCCCATTTAATAAAGCGGGACAGCATCCCAGTCAGCATCTCAGTGGCCTTCGGAAAGCTGTCTACAGAACTGTAAGAGCCAACTTTCAAGCAGCAAGGCTGGCTACCCTATATATGCTGAAAAAATATCCTTTTTTGCCTAAATGTAAGAAGAAGAAATGTTTCCAGAGTCCTGAATATAGATATTATAGTTGCATCCTGTAAAGTTAACTGTAAACTGAGATTGCCTATTTTGAAGCTCATTCCATCATCACTTCTATTTTAAAACTGGAAATGCATTCCAGGGGGGATGACAGTAACAGACAGGAAGATAGTTCTTCTGTTCTCATGTGCTTAATTTTTAACAAGGAAAGAACCTGAAGTTCCTCCCTTGACTCGTCCAAAGAATAAAGTCAATAGACCTAGCTTTGCTGGGTCTGACTTTTTTTTTAAATTACTGAACATGGCAAATTTGTGTCATGACATGGAAATAAACTGGCAACAGGAAATCCTTCTCCTTTCAAAAACCAGAAGTTCTAGAGTCAGATAGGCCACATTTAAATTTTGGCTGTATCAGCCACTGCCTAGGTGACTTTAAGCAAGTTTCCTAACTCTCTGTACCTTTCCTTATTCATTTTTAAAATAGAAATACTAACATAATCTTCCTATTTTTGTTGAAATCTAATGGGTCAGTGCATATAAATAGAATATGTACAGATTCAGTCTGGCACTATATCAAAGATTGCTATAATATGACCAGATAGAAATATGCTAGAAATTTAAGAATAGTCCAATATCAAGAATTGTATGGATACAATTCTTTAGAAAGAAAAAAAAAACTGTTAAAGGGGGAAAAAACACATAGCAATATTGATAGATGCTCATGAGGAAGAGAAAAGCAAAACAGAACAGTAGCCTGTGTCAGACAACCTGGACAGGACAGTTTAGTGTTACTTACGTCAGCAGTCTGTGTATTTTCAGGTCATGGTCAGTTAGTGATGTCCTACAGTCGCAGACTGGGAGGAAAGCAAAGTATTTACTGTAGGGTAGTGAGTGCCTGATTCATGCACAATACAGTTTCAAAAGGTATCTAAAGTAACTAAATTAGCTCATTAGCATTTGTGAAGAACTGAATTTTTAGCACTTTACATATAAAAATATTTTATTCGCAAAGATCCTGTAAGATATCTCGGGTATGTTAATATATTAGATTTTAAGATTAGTTTATTTTAAAATGATGTAAATCTCCTCCAGTCAAAGTTCAGAATAATGAATAGAAAAGGTAATTTGGGGCAGTCGTAACGTACCCTTTGTTTTAATGAAGAGGCTTTGTTGATTGCCTTAACCTAATTTAACCTACCCCCTGAACTCGGAGAGTGACAATGTAACCAACTACATCTGTGTGGTACCTTTTAAGGAGCTGGGCCTTGGACTTAGTGAAGAGCAGATTTCAGAAGAGGAAGCACATAACCTTACAGATGGCTTCAGCCTGCCTGCATTGAAGGTAATCCGCTGGTGGAAGGAAGGGCTGAGGAAGAGATAGATGCTCTTGGGTTGTGCTTTTTGAACACTTGGATTTTGCCTGTGCTTTTTGAACACAGGTGGTGCACCTTTTATTGTTTGCTGAAGACCATTACTGTCATTTACTGTCTTAGCCTTACTGACATTTGAGAAGCTGCCTTTAAAAGCGGAGAGCATCATAAAGATTGGTTAGAAAGATCCTTATAGTTTGATATCAAAATACTTGAAATTCTTAATGTAAGCATTTCTTAATTAGAGTTTGGAGATAAGTGAGTTTACTTTAATAAGAAACCAATATGAGTGATTTTATTTACTAGCCTCTTGTTTCAACAAACATGCATAAAGAACTTAGAAGATCATCATCTTCCCTTGGAAAATCACCCCAAAATTCTTGTTTAGAACAAGAATTTTTTTCATATATTAAAAGCCAAATAAAAGAATATATTTGACTACATAAAAATTAAACTTCTAAACTTCAGATTCTGCATACTTTAAATGTAAACAAGCTCAGAAAAAATGCAATGACTTATAACAAAGGGCTTGAATTCATTCTCTATAAAGAGCCCTAAGGTATGTAAAACCTATGTATAAAAGATAGGTCAGGTGCATGAACTGCCAATTCACAAAAGAAGAATGACAAATGGCCAATAAATATGATAAAACTTTCTATCTTATTAGTAATGAAAGATACAAATAAAAGTAAGTAAAAATTTTGCCAAGGATATTGAAAGTTGATAATATTCATTATCAATGAAGATTCAGAGACCTCAGACACTAGTTGTGAAAACATAAACTGTTTCACTTTAGCAGTTAATACCAACCTTCACAAAGGTGTGAACCCTTTACTCCCGCAATTTTAAACTTACAGACTCATCTCAGGGAGTAATCGAAGATATACTCAATGTATGCTCATGACATTACTATGGCAGGAAATATGGGGAACATTAAAAATTTAAAAACATAAGATTGGTAATGATTTATGGTATATTCATTTGATCAGCTGTTTTGGAATTGGTAGAAAAAAATAACATGAAAAAACATAAGAGGAGGAGCATATTACAAAAACACTATGCAGTAAGATTCCAGTAGTATTTTTAAGAGGTCAATCCAAATGTCTTTAAATTCCTTTTCAGTATTTAGCAAACTCCACTTACATATTTCTTTGTTTCTAGTCTTTAAAGCCTCAGTTGATACCATGAAAATAAGTGCAAATGTAGTTGACAGCATATTTATAGATTTCCATTTTGTTTTGAGGCTATATAAACTTCTACATCTTTAAATTTTTCATATCCATATAAATGTTCTAATTCTAATGTTTATTTCCCTTTCCACTTGCTTGAAATTTGCCTTGACTTATTGTTACCCTCATTCCAACCCATCTCAATAAATGGCACCCACCCAACTTACTAAGTTAGAAACCTGGGCACCATCCATCTTATCCCTCCTTTTACTTCTCACATCCAGTCTGTCAACAGGTTTTTGTGTCAGTTCTACCTTCAAAATATATTTTTTCCATGTTTCCCACCATCTTAGTCCTGACTGCCATCATCTTTTACCTAAGCTGCTTGAATAGTTTTCTTGTAGGTTTTCTTAGTTCCCTAAAGTTGTTTGTTCAGAATGCTATTTGACATACAAAGAGCCTTAAAAATGATATATGCTGCCCAGCCGGGCGTGGCTCAGCGGTTGAACATCGACCTAGGATCCAGGAGATTGGGGTTCGATTCCTGGTCAGGGCACATGCCGGGTTGCGGGCTGCAGCCGATCAATGACTCTCATCATTGATGTTTCTGTCTCTGTCTCTTCCTCTCCCTTCCTCTCTCTGAAATCAATAAAGATATATTTAAATATATATATATATATATATATGCTTTGAATTAATAATTCCACTTCTGCAGATCTTTCTTAAAGAAATGATTCCAAATGTAGTAAAGCTTTATGTACCAGGTTGCTTATTAGCTTTGTTTATAATAGCAAAAAATGAACACAGCCTAAATGTACAACAATAAAGGAATAGTTGCATTAATTATGGCAAATCCACATGGTGGACCATTGTGTGGCAGCTAGAGTTCTTGAAGTTTTTATAAAAACTTGGGAGAAATATCTGTTAAAAACAGTGAAACAATTAGCATATATATAAATGTATATACAGTATGGCCACAACTCTGTTTTTACAAAAAGACTGAAAGAAAATACCAAGACACTAATAGCTACCCTTTAGGGAGTGGTCACACTATAGATAATTAATTCCATTTACTTCCAGATTCAGTACTATGACCATGCTTTACTCTATAATGGAAAAAATGATTTTCAAAAGACAATTTCAGAGATTCTTTTTTTTTTTTTTTTTTTTGCCATGTCTCTGAGTCTTTATTGCCCCATCTCTGTTCCCTCTACACTACAGCAGGAACCAGCACCGTCTCCACTCCCTTGTCTCCACTCCCTTCCGCCTGGACCTGCCAGCGCAGGAACCTCCTCACCCCACCCTGGGGCCCTGACTGAGTCATTCTCCATCCTCCACCCCCACCCCCGTCCCCCACCCAGCACTGGGGTCCAGGCAACAGTCCCAGTCAGCCTGGGGGAAGGAGGCAGCCATAAGCCCCTAGTGCTCTGGCCCCTTAAGGCCAAAAGGGAAGTGAGGAGCTGGGAGGGCAGGGCAAGACTTTGGCCCGGAATAGTTAAGCAGCTAGCAACTGCTAGAGGAAGACTCTCGGCAAATGATTAGTTAATAGTGTATACACAGGGCAGTGCACAATAAATATCAAATGACAGCCTGAAAATCTCTAATTCCTTTCTAAGGATTAGGTCTACCAACCATGCCTTTCCACAGAAACACAAACACTGACTCAAGAAGCTGCATCTGCAGAGGAATGGAGAATGATTGAAAGTTACACCAGCAGGCTGGTGCAGAAGGACCCTGAGGTTAGGTGGGTGAATAGAAACATGGAGTGGACTCCAGCAGGCAGCTCAGGCCTACTCCTTTTTCTTCTTGTGAGGAGCCTTTGCGTTCCAGTAGAAGAGAAGCTGGGCAGCAATGAGGCCGTTAGAGAGGGAAGAGACCACAAAGGCTCCAGCCATGAGGGGATCTCCAGTTTCCTGAATGGCGGTGAAGATTCGGGCGAGGGAGCCCCCAAAGAGCAAAAAGACCGTGATGGCTGAGAGCCGGCCTGTGTGCCCGTTGCGCAGTTGGTGGCTGCCTGGGGCAGCTTCCCCGCCACCACCGGAGGCCTGGCGCAGGGCGACTACAGCCGGGGGTGGCCGTGGGGGGCGCAGCACCAGCGGGACCGGGGCCTAACCCGCCGGGAAAGCCACACCTTTCAGTCTGTCCTCCGTAATGGAGGACCGGGCAGCAGAGGGCGATTGGCCGAGCATCGGGAATAGAGCTTCGCCCCAAGAGCTGAAGGGGAAGTTAATGCTGCAGACCACAGTCCCCGTCGATGCCACTCGTTCCAGCATTACTGACGGGAGGCTCAGCCCCTCAGCACTCTTGGCTCCAAGGATTTTAAACACCTGGGGCATTTTTACCAGAAGTGACCCAGCTACAATGCCCAGCCCCAGGCCTTTGCTGAGGGGAATCTTCAGGCAGGGGACATGAAAACAAATCCCACTGGAGGAAGATTTGGTCGTAGCAGTTCTCAGGTAAAAGAATCGGCACCAGTAACCGTCGGAGCAGCCCGTCAGCTCCGGGCGCCATGTTGTTTTGAGTCTTGGTGGAAGCGGGATTTACCTTCCTGCTTCTCTCCGCTTCTCCTGCTCGGCGCCATCTTGTTTTCTCCCTGCTGACTTTACATTGTTCAAAGTTGAGGAGCGTGAGTCTCCAAAATGGCGTTGGACGGGCCGCCGTACCTAATCTAGCTCTCCCGCGGTCTTGAGAGGGAACGGCCGTGGCGGGAGCGGCAGGGCCTGCGGGAAGCCGCCCTCAGGGCCGCTTCGCTCCCCCGGCTTCGCCCACGCCTTGGCGAGTGGGTGCGCCAGCGGCTGCTGGGCCGGGACAGTGAAGCGGAAAGCGGAGATTCTTAATGAGTGAAAACAGGGACTTTGGAATTGAGCAAACCTAAATTTATATTTGAGCTCTGACCCCGATAAGCCATTTGACCTTGAATAAATTATTTGAACCTACCTCATCTGTAAAAACGGTTCCCATACCTGCCAAGGTGTTGAGAAGACATACAAAATACCTGCAATGGGGCTTGTCATATCATGGGGACCAAAAGCGGTAATAGCTATTGTTATTTATGCTTTTGATATACTGTTTTTAAAAGCTTGTTAAGTCTTGAACTGTATTTCAGCGTAAGTATAGGCAGCAAAGAGAAAAAGGGACTCCCCTGGAGCCAGACTTTCCGGGTGTGGCTCGAGCTCCATCACTTGACTGCTGATGGGGTCTTGAGCAAATCATTGTTTCTGTGTTTCTAAAAATAGAATAATCATAATGCTTATCCCTGAAGGATTCAGTATTTGCCAGTTCAGTGCCTGGGATAGCGTGAGTAATAAATGTTAGCTGATTTTTTTAAATTGCATTTGATGGGACCTATTCTAAAAAGTGAGGCTTGTTCTCATTTCCCTTCCCACCCCACCCCAATACAGCTGGTTGTAGCTGGACCCTTTCTGCTCGCCCATGCTGCTTTACAAGTCAGACTAACTTTTGATTTTTGCTTTATTTTGACATATAACTAATCTATAACCAAACTCAATGTGTTGCATTGTTACCAGGAATATCAGCCTCTGAAAGAAGCCTTATCTTGGATCGATAGAGTTTATAAACTGCTAGAAACCCCTATGATATTTGAAAACTGTACTTTGCCACCTTGTACATTTGCCATTGTACCCAGCAAAGGGTTTTTAAATGGATTTTGTAAGTTAAATTTTAAAAGAAAATTCTCTCAAAAGAGCAACACTAATTAAAGTTTTTTTTTTAACGTAGTGAAAGATGGTTTACAAATAAATCAGGACCTTTTGTTTTCTTTTGTAATCTTCAGTGTTCATAAAAAAAAAAAATACATTTTGGGTTTATTTTTTATTGTTCACATATATTCTCTCAGGAAAACTTTATAATAGCAACTATCCTGAGGATATATATATAAAATACTTAGTACAGAGTCCTTATCCCTTTTTTTAGTTTGTTTAAATTTTTAACTAGTTTTTAAAATTATTATAAAGTAATATATTTCTTGCTTTAAAAAACTAAGTCCACATTTTATAAAAATGCTTTACATAAAAATTTATTATTTGCCCATAAAATTATGGTTATCCCCTCATCCAAAGAACTAACAGAAAAATATATGTAATTTTGAGTTTTGTTTTGATTGGGTAATATGGTAGTAATTAAATAATAAATTAGTACTTTTTAAATGACAGTGAGCTATGCCCACTAGATTGTGTTGTTTGCTGTGGCCCAAAACTCTGGAATCATCCTTCATAACACTTTTCCTCTCATAAACAATTTGTCAAGAGATTTTGTCAGTTCTGCTTTCACAGTATGTCCACGGTCTGACTACTGCTCACCTCTTACTATTAACCACTGTGGTACAGACTACCGTTAACTCCCATGAATTATTGCAGAACCTCCTAACTGGTCTCCACTTCTCCTCTCACCTGCCTATCGTCTCTCAACCCAGCAGCCAGAACAAGCCTGTTAAAGCATAATTCAGATCATATAATGCTGCTGCGCAGAACCCTTCAGCAGCTCCCTATTCTCTTAGAGTAAAAGCCAGAGTGACTCCATCACTTACCACCCCCCCTTGCTTACTGTACCCCAGCCACACTGACCTTGCTCTTCAGGTATGCCAAGTACACTCCTACTGAAGAACTTTGCAATTGAACCTCCTGCTCCCTGGAATTCTCTTCCCTGATGATGACCCCATGGATCAATTCTGGGTCACACTTTTTCCTGGCCACCCCACCCCTTCGCCTTTCCACCTCTCCCTCCTCTTTCCACCATGTATATACACATAAACACACACTTGGTTATTCCCCTTCTCTGCTGTATTTTTCCCCATAGCCCATCAGCTAAGAAACTTTGTCCCTCTACTTGAATATAAGCTCCATCAGGGCAGGGGTTTTTTTTTCACTTTTGTTCAAAGCTATATTATCAGCACAGAGAACAGTGCCTGGTACGTCATAGGTGCTCAAAAAATACTTGCTGAACAAATAAAGGAATAAAGAAAATCACTGTAGTCATAAATTTTAATGGTTAAATAAGACTTATGAGGTAAGCTTGTTTATATTCAGGAATTCCTAGGTGTCTTTAACAATTTGGAGATTTGACCTTGCTTATTAAAACAAGTAATAAATCAATAGTAAAGTAGGTTTGCATTAAATTATCTTAATTTATTTGCATAATTTTAATATTCAGTTAATAAAACAGTCTAAATAATGTTCACTTTCCTGGTTGTGAACAATTGGAATCTAAAATTGGTTCAGTCCTCTTTGGTATATGCTAATTATTGTTAATACGATATTGTCTCATGTTTGTTTGTTTGTTTGTTTCAGAGATGTTGTCCTCCTCTAGAACAGGATTATATCTAGAGAAATCCTTTGTTGCCTGAAGTCAGGGCATCTCTCCCAAGAATGGGTTTTGTAGTTTCTCGTGCCAGGCATTCCTCCGTATGAACACTCTGGGACTGATTTTTATGTTATTTCTTAACTATTTCCTAGCCAAAATAATGGTATAATTTTGAACCCCAAACACTGGATCCATCATTTCTTTGGACTTATATAGGTCTCTCATTCCTACTGTCTTCATTGTGTAAAATTTTCAAATAATTCATCAACATTTACTTTGAATAAATGTGCCTCATTCCATCAACACTTCCCTTCTAGGTTAGAACTGCACTCAATTATTTACTGGTACATTTCCTGCTATCTTAGGATCAGAAGTTGCCATGTGCCATGACTACATAATTTGATATAAAATTCTTGGCTAATCTTAGAGTTAATTCAAGCTCAGCTATATCCATTGGTTAGGATAGAGTGGGAAATTTAAACCAGAAGTTAAATTTGTAGTTTTTTTGAATGTTTGCCAATATTTTTTATTGATCTAGTTCCTTTTTTTTTTTTTTAGGTTTTGTACCAACTCTGGGTGGCACAGAGTTCAGAATTCTTCAGACGGTTAGCCCTGTTACTTTCTACAGCTAACGCCCCTCCTGGGCCCTTACTCACTCCAGCACTTTTGCCTCATCGTATTTTATCTGATGTGACTCAGGGTCTACCTCAAGCTCACTCTGCCTGCTTGGAAGAGCTTAAGCGCAGCTATGAGTTCTATCGGTACTTTGAAACGCAGCACCAATCAGTACCCCAGCGTTTATCCAAAACTCAGCAGAAATCAAGAGAACTGAATAATGTTCACACAGCAGTACGCAGCTTGCAGCTCCATCTGAAAGCATTACTGAATGAGTAAGTTCAGAAGCTATATAAGGAAATGTCCCTGTGACTAGCAAGCTTCATTCTTGGGCTGTTGTGGTTGTTGGCTTGTGTCCTAGCTAGAAGCAAGCAGCAAAATGGAGACATGCAGCATGAAGAATGGTTTATAGCTACAAATATAGCAGAGAAACATGATTTGTAAGTACTATAATTTGGGGGAGGGGGTCATTTATAGTTTTTATTTTCCTAATTTCAACAGAAAACCTGGAAAGATAGAACAAAAGCAGATGCTTATTCTGTTTGAGGGCTGCAGTGGAGAAGTTTACAAGAATGAACTTGTTTTAACTCTCTTTAATTGGGGCTCTTAAACTAGAACCTGCAATGTAAGAGAAATATTTGCCAGCACTGGAAAAATAAGTTATAAGAGGTGTTGTTGTATATAGTTGAATAGTTCATTGCTATTTTTCTAAATAAATCCAGCAGATTTGGACATTTTTCTGTAGCATAGGACCCCAGTTGGATAGTAAAATGTTGGGTCCATATTTGTTGATCTACTCTACATGGTATTGCTGGTACCCTACCTTGGTAACATGTAGGGTACAATCATTCTGGTGAAATTCTTCTGTAACAGAGACTGTAGTATAGGACTGGATCAGATGAATGGTTGGGATGGTTGGGTTCATGTTGTGTTGGTCATTAGGAAGGTCATAGGAATTTAATGAGTTGATATGATCTTTGTTTATGTACTTGACCCTGGATACCAGGCGCAAAAAGTGGGAGAGGGCAGCAATCAGTTGTGTAAGATTTTTTTTTAAATGGATCAAAAGGGCTTGAAGTGTCAGTAAAATCAAAAGGCTAGTTCACTGAGTGAAGAAGGATGTGGTGTACAAAGACAGGACATTAGTTATAAGGACATTTTGAGAAGATACGTTTTTACCCATTAGTTCAAGGTCGGGCATTAGGTATATAAGGCTGATGTAAAGGTTATGCCATAGGGGTAAACTAAGAAACTGTGAGGCAGGGATGTTCAGATGGTCTGTAGCTGCTATTCTAAGCAAGCAGGTGAATGCTAACCTGATTCTGCCCTGTCTGCCACAGGGAACATGGGAGGTAAAGCAATCTCAAGGTGAGTGGTGGCAAAGGTTGGATCATCAGCAGGGGAAAACCATATTTTAGTGGAAAGGTTTATCAGGAAAGCCAGAGTCTCTAAATAATTAGCTTTTTAATTCTTTAATTCTCTTAGCTACTCCCTATCTATACCCATTGCTGGTAGCAACCTCCCCCTCCTCTGAATTCTTACAACACTGTCTTTTTATCTCTCTGTGGTATTAAACTTTTGTGCCCGGATTCAACCCAGCTTTACAGCTTCCCAGCTGTATGACTCTGAGCAAGTTTCTTCAAGTCTCTGTACCTAATTCCGCATCTGTAAATGGAAATAAAATGTTAGTTATAACTTTTTACAATATTGTATTATATATATATGTATGTATGTATAATTCCTCTGATTTAGTTATAACTTTCTTATAAGTAGAAGATTAGTTTAACTTGTCCTTTCAGTTCATGCCTAGTATGTATGCAAGCAATATTTGTGGAATAAATACATGATACTGTTTTTAAGATATTTAAGAAGTATGGTAAAATACATGTAACATAAATTTTACCATTTAACCATTTTTAAGTGTACAGTTCAGAGGCGTTAAGTACATTCACACTGTTGTACAACCATCACCACCTTCCATCTCCAGAACTGTTTTCATCTTCTAAGCTTATTTCTTAAATAAGCCTTGAAAATTATAAATTTTCCATTTTATATTTTTAGAAATCTAAATGGTGAAACTTTTTCTTTTTTCCTCAGGGTAATAATTCTTGAAGATGAACTGGAAAAGCTTGTTTGTACTAAAGAAGCACAAGAACTAGTGTCAGAAGCTTATCAAATCCTGGAACAGAAATTAAAGTTGATTCAGCCCCACGTTCAAGCAAGCAACAATTGCTGGGAAGAGGCCATTTCTCAAGTGGACAAACTGCTACGAAGAAATACCGATAAAAAAGGTAACTATGAGAGATTTCTTCTGCATATTCCTCTGCAGTAGGATTTTATTAGGTATATTGTCTCAGTGATGAAACTGACTTGACAAAACTTCTTAGTTTACTAAAGAAAAAGTTGAACTTACATGGCCCTGGTCAGTGTGGCTCAGTTGGTTGGAGTGTCTTCCCATATATCAAAAGGTGGTGGGTTCAATTCCTGGTCAGGACACATACCCAGGTTTCAGGTTCAATCCCTTGGTTAGGCCGTATGCAGAAGACAACTGATTGACGTCTCTCTCTCTCTCTGTCTCTCTCTCTCTCCCTCTCCCTTTCTCCCTCTCCCCACTCCCTTTCTCTCTAAAATCAATTTTTTANTCTCTCTCTCTCTCTCTCTCTCTCTCTCTCCCTCTCCCTCTCCCTTTCTCCCTCTCTCCCTCTCCCCACTCCCTTTCTCTCTAAAATCAATTTTTTAAAAAATTATTTTTAAGTTGAGCTTATATGTACAAATTGACACTGAATGTAAAGTCTTGGCTCTTATTAATAAAAATATATATGATTTGAAAGTTCCCTGAATCATATATCTGGTTTTAAAAAAACTTAAAATGAAGGGATAGATTTAAATAGTATTATTTATTATTAAGCCTTCCAGAATCTCTTTTCCAGTTAGGGTGATACTGAGTTTGATAGTCACAGGCCAGAAATTGAGTTTTGCTTTTAAGATAGAATTCTTACTTTAGTTATTTGAAAATCGCATACAAATGCTATAATAGGTGGCACTGCATGTTTGTTATTAGGGGTCTAAAATGTATTAAGTGCCATTATTTAATAGTAACACTGGAGTGCCTTGTACTGCTTGATAAAAAGACAGTCTTGAAATTCTCCACAAACCTGCTTTCATTTGACCCAGATTTTATACTTTGTTTTACTAATTTCACTAATGCCATTGTAAATGTTTGGCATATTAATTTTTAAACTTGTACTATAAACCATGTTTATCCCTTGGACCTTTGAGATGATGTTAATAAGATTTATGTAGAGAAATTGTATTTCTCCCAAAGATGATTAATGCTTTATCATTCTGTTAGTCATTGTTTTGTTTACAGCTAGATCTGTAATACTTTAATGTTTTAAACATGCTAAATAAGTCCTTACATAGTAAAAGTATTTCCTTTGAAAAAATGAAATGTTAGCATGCTAATTTCTGATATATTACCAATAGATTTCCTTTATATTTCAAATGTAAATAGTGAATAATTTTTCCCCCAAAGGATAATATTGCCAAGGATGTGTAATGGGTGCAGATATTTGTGCATTTTTGAAATAACCCAAATCTAAAGCTTTTGAGTACATTTCCTATAAATAGAAACACCATTGGGTGTTAAAAGATGCATCCCACTCACCCCTCCTTAGCATTCTAAGATTTTGAATGTTAGACACTCACTGAAACATGATTGTTAAAACTGCAAATCATTGGGCAAGTGATAAGCGATTTCTTCGGATATGTAGGTTTTGCTCATACATGATTATGATATGAATTAAAATAGAAGTAATTCACAAACTTTTCTCACCAACACGCTCATAGTGGCCATGGCTACACAACTTTAAATAAAATGTTCATTTGAGCCCTGGCCAGGTGGCTTAGTTGGTTGGATCACTGTCCTGTGCACCAAAAGGTTGCCAGTTCAATTCCTGGTCAGAGCACAGACCGAAATTGCAGATTCCATCCCCAGTCAGGGCACTTGCAGGAAGCAACCAATCAATGTTTCTGTTTCACATCGATTTTTCTTCTCTGTCTCTCTTTCTCTCTCACTTCCTCTCTCACTAAAATTGGTTTTACAATTGAAAAACATAACTAAAAAACAACAACAAAAATATATCCTTAGGTGCGGATTTAAAAACTGTTCTTTTGAGTTTTTTAAAATGCAGGTGCTTCAGTTAGCTGTATCTTTTTCAAAGTTATTTCAAAATTCTAGGAATATCACAAGAGTAGTTCCCAGTACCCTTCGTCAAGATTAGATTCCCAGTTGCTGACACTCTACCACATCTGCCTTATCTGTGTATCTGTATGTAAATTCCTTTGGTGGTATTATTCTTAACCATTTGAGAGCGAGATACAGACATGGAACCTCATTACCTGTAAATATTTCTGTTTGCATTTTTTAAAACATGGACATTCCCCTACTACACCACAATATACCATCAAAATCAGTAAATTAACATGGATACAATATTGCTTTCTAATCCACAGGCCCATTCCAATTTCACTGATTGATCCAATAATATTTTCTAATGTTCAGATCCAGATTACACATGGCATTTAATTTTCATGATCTTTATTCTCCTTTAGCCTTCTTTCTCTTTCATGATAAGTATTTTAAGAAAAAAAAATACTTTGAGGTTATATAAATAGACTTTCTTTATCAAAAGTTTTCCCACTATTAAGCATACACACACCAAATGACTCAGTAATATTATTCCTAGATATTTACCCAAGAGATATAAAAACTTAATGTTCACACAAAAACTATACACAAATGTTTATAGTGGCTTTATTCATAACCACTAAAAACTAAAAGAAGCTCGTGCCCTTCCGCTGGAGAATAGATAAAGTGTTATATCTATCCATATACTGGAATACTATTCAGCAATAAAAAAAGAAATGAACTGATACATCAGTAAGGTGAAGGAATCTCCAATGCACTGTGCTAATCAAAAGAGACCAGACTTAAGTCACCACATATATAGGATTCCATTTATATGACATCCCTAAAATAGGAAACTGTAATAGGAACAGAAAGCATATCAATGGTTACTTGGAGTTGGATATGAAGGGAGGAATATGGTATAAAGAAGCAGCATACGGAAATGTTTTGAGGTGATGAAACTGCTCTATATCTTGGCTGTTAATTAGATATTCACTCTTTTCTGTGTGGCCTGTTTCTTTTGAAGGCAAACCTGAAACAGCATGTGAAAGCCCACGCTGTACTGTGGTACCTGTGCTGCAGCCTACTCTACACATTGCAGACCAAGATCCCATCCCTGAGGAGCAGGTAAGGGTGAAAATTGCTTTTTCCCCAGAAGGAGAGTTTTNCAGACCAAGATCCCATCCCTGAGGAGCAGGTAAGGGTGAAAATTGCTTTTGTTTCCCCAGAAGGAGAGTTTCACATACAAAGCTTACCTACCTCTATCTGTAAGTGATATGGTTAATTGTTGAATAAGTGAAAATTGTCGATTTTTTTGCCCTGCCGGGCGTGGCCCAGCGGTTGAGCATCGACCTAGGATCCAGGCGACCGGGGTTCGGTTCCCAGGCAGGGCACATGCCTGGGTTGCGGGCTCGATCAATGACTCTCTCGTCGTTGATGTTTCTCTCTCTCTTCTCCCTGTCCTTTCCTCTCTCTGAAGTCAATAAAGATATATTTTTTAAAAAAGAAAATTGCCGATTTCTTAGACACTTAAAAGTGATTGAACANCGTCGTTGATGTTTCTCTCTCTCTTCTCCCTGTCCTTTCCTCTCTCTGAAATCAATAAAGATACATTTTTTAAAAAAGAAAAAAGAAAATTGTCGATTTCTTAGACACTTAAAAGTGATTGAACGCATTAAAAATTAGTGCCTTGGCAAAGGTACCTTCTGTGGTGCTAGAAATGTTTTTATCTTGATCTGAGTGGTGGTTACCAGCATATACACATATGTAAAAATCTTATACACTTATCTTGTGTATTTGACTGCAGTTACATTATGCCTCACTTTCAAAAACAATGTTTTAATGATTGCATTAGATATTGACAAAGATTTCTTTTGCTCCTCCTTAGGAAAAGAAGTTATTCTTAATGGGAAAGGGAGACCAACCCTACTTAGTTTAACAAACAAGAAATTTTTTTAAAAAACATTAGATACCTGACAGAATATTTCAGAGAGCCAGATAATCAGGCTTGAACCAGGCTGGGATAAAAACCTAAAATTACTCAAAAGAACTGTTCCAGTGGCAACATCACTACTAAGTCACTGGGCACAGACTTTGCCACTTGGTCCATCAGTGCTACCTTCAGAAACTCTGCCTCTGGAAACTTTTATCTGCCACCATTCTTACCAGAGTGTATTCCTCAAGATGCCTGCTTCTTTTATAACACACTTATGAGTCAGATCTGACCCCAGAACATCTGATTAGAGGATCCCAAGTCCTTTGCCTGAACCTTAACTACAAGGAGTCTGAGTAACCAGGGATCCTACCGTCTGCCTCAGTGATACGGAGAGCCATAGATGAGGTGTTCCTCAATCCTAAGAATACTGTTCAGACTTCCTGGGACCTGAGAAAGCACCACAGATGTCTACCACAAAAGGACTAGCATACCTGACCACCTCCCCAACCACCAGCCCTGCTAATTTTGATTGGTTTTGACAGAGCTATTCACTGTAATCTTGACTAGATCTGTAGAGTGGTATCAGTAGAAAAATAATGATTGAGTTGTTAAACTTTCTTATTTACAACCCTTTATAGTATCAACTTAAGTTTTTTAAAGATTTCCATTTATCTATATGTTTGCTTTGTTTGCCCAGCTGTGCTTTAGTGACCTGTGCAGAGTCCTCCTTTTTTAATCTTGGAGAGGGGTAGGTACAAATAAATTACTACTAGAAAATTATCTGCTTGAAGTAAAGTACTTTTTTAAAAAATTCATTTTCAGGAATTAGAAGCTTATGTAGATGATATTGATATGGACAGTGACTTCAGAAAGGATGACTTTTATTACTTGTCTCAAGAAGACAGAGAGAGACAGAAGCGTGAGCATGAAGAATCCAAGAGGGTACTCCAAGAATTAAAATCTGTGCTGGGATTCAAAGCATCAGAGGCAGAAAGGCAGAAGTGGAAGCAGCTTCTATTTAGTGATCACGGTAAGCCTGACTTCAGGGTAAACGGTTCTTTCAATGTAGGGGATTTATTTTTTCTTTTACTGTGAATCTTATTTTAGTTACAGAGTTCTTATGACTATAATTTTAGGCATCCATCAGTAAGTATAATACTTTTTCTTTTAGACACAAAATCAATTTGATCAATTAAAGAGTAGGTATATAATGAAACTGGGAATATGAAATCACACTTTTCATCAGTTTAATTTTTTTTTACTAAATTTGTATTTGAATGGGCGGTGAATTGAATAAATTAAATTAGAATGTTTTCAAATTTTGTGAATATGAGATTCTAAACTCTGTTCTCTTTTGTTGATATTATAAATACCTCAGTGAAACACAAATGACTGTGTTCACTATTCAAACAAATGAATTAAGACCTAAGCCACTTAGCTGTATCTTTTAGGTTACTCAATGATTTGAGTGCTTTAGTGGATGGGAGTTGAGGAGGTGCTTCTGTGCACACTGTCTCCATACTTGGATTTGTACAAAGTTGGATGATGACTGGTAATACCTAAGATTAGCCTTAAACTCTTTTATGTTTCCCACCCGTCTTTAGTTGAACTTCTTGGGAGTTCNCTTAAACTCTTTTATGTTTCCCACCCGTCTTTAGTTGAACTTCTTGGGAGGTGGGGAAGGGAACTAGGGGAAGCTTAATACTTGACAACATTAAACTAGCTAATTTCTAAATGAATAATTAATTCCTATGGATTTCTAAGAAGGTAGAGTGGGACTTCCCTTACATTTTAGAGTACGTAGAGCCTGAAAATCAATTGCCTTCTTTTCCCTTTCTCTTTTTCACTCGAAATATATAGATTACCTAACTTCTGGGAAGTTCCTCAAGGTCCTCCTCTTCTCTTGGGAGTTCTACCATTCTCATTCTCCCTTGTCCCGATGTACATTTTTTTATTGTATCCTTCCTCTTTCTTCCCATTGTCCTCTTTTATAGCTAGGCCCTCATTAGATTATGCTCATGTATTATAATAGCCTTAGCTGATTTCCATTTACAATACCTTTTTCTTCTAAGCTATCCTTAGAAATAGCTTCTAAGTTTCTAAGATAGCTTCTATCCTTGCAAGCTCCAGATTTTTCTTAAAAAACACATTGATAATGGCTATCTTAAAAATATACACACAAACACACACAGTGGTGCCCCCTTTTTTATTTGTATTAAATCTAAACTCCTTTACCTGGTTTTAAGCCTTTCCATCATATGAATCCATCATATCCAATTATGTTTCCCACTATTTCGAATATAGATATCTCCCTTTAATTATATTTATCTAATTAGACTATGGTTCCACAAATTTGCTGTTTTTATTCATGAGAAACATTCATGCTGATCCCTTTACCAGAAATGTATCTTCTCCAAGCTGTCCCCTCCACCAGTCTCCTCTGGGAGTCCTCCTCTGATGCTCCAGCCCTGCCACCTTTCCTACCACTACAGACCCTCACACCAGAAGGGCACTGTAGTTAAGTGAAAGCAAGTAAGTCTGAGCAGCAAAGCATATAGGAGATTAGGATCTTCCTAGAAGCAGCAGTAAAAATAGAGTTCCTATAACCTGCTTGTTTATATATTGGGCCTACGTAAATCAGAGATTAAGAGTATTATGTTTTAGGCACTATTGTTTCCTGTGCTTTTTTTTGGGGGAGTCTCTTATTAAGTTACCATCTCCTTAAATAGGAGCTTTATTATCCTCCATAGTATTCATTCAGCAAATTGTTTATTCAACAAATAGTTCCTAACACACTGTTTATTGTTGTAGATCCCTAGCACAAAAGTCAAGAGAGGCTTATATTCTAGCACACTTGTCAGTTGACCCATTGTAGGAATTAATACACCCCCCACTTAATTAGCATTAATCAGCAATAGCAGTCAACTTCTAATATATGTTGCATTCTTTAAACCAGCAGATTTATAGATTAAAACTGCATGTGAAGACTGAAAATAGCATTATATATAAACTTGTATCCTTTTTTATTGTTTAGTATAGCTTTAATTATTCATGTAGCTTTAATTCTGTTGACAATATGAACAAAGATAGAACACAGAGAAATGTGTCTCTTTTTCAGGTATGTGCTTTGATAGTTTACATTTGAAAAGGCAATAATGCTGACTTAGTTTGTGAAATTAAGTAAAAAGCTACTGATACGGTAAAATGCTTTTCCCATGAAATTTTTCAGTACATCTTCCAGAGTTGTTTTCATCTCTGCCTACAGGGGTAAAGTCCGAATGGAATTAGAGAGGGAAATTCTGCACTGGAACCTGCTGTGACCATTTTTTTTCTATTGTCGCTGCTTCTCTAGTGGAGTTACTGCAGCTTAGGGATCTGTTTCTTGAAAATGGACACATTTTACAAAGTTATTTTTAAATAAACGCCAGATCCTCAAGATGCGCTTTTTCTTCCGCCATGCTTCATAATATATTGTATTGTACTAACCCCTCATACTGGGAGGAGAGACTGCCTAGCAAGCAACCCACTGCCTACTAACATCAAGAGGGGCTAAATAAAACTTCATTTTCCCTGAAAGGACAACTTCTGCCGTATGGATATATATTATATTTATGTATTATGCTTTGTACAGTAGTTGATCTTGAGTGCAGATTTTACTTCGTTATATATTTTTCTGTGACATTAAAAAATGTATAGAAGTTAACGGCTTTACTTTCATCAGAGTCTTGCTAGGTGGTTGGCAAGTAAGTTGAATTGTATGATGCATTTGTTTTCCATGCTGTTTTAACTTATAAATATATATAGTATATGTGTTGAAAATATTATTATCTGGATTACTTTGGCTTTTTATCTGACATATTTATATCAGTGAAAGCTTATTTAATGCAATGGTCCTCAAAATTTAGTAAGCATCAGAACAAAGTGGAAGGCTTGTAAACATAGCTGGTCCCCACTCCCATTTTCCAATTTAGTAGGCCTGAGAATATGCATTTCTACCATATTCCTAGGGGATGCTGACAGATGCTGTTGGTTCGGGGACCACACTTTGAGAACCACTGTTTTAATATCTTGAATAAGAGAATATATGAGGCGTTTTTAAATCTTCATCAAAACTCCATCTCATTTCATTTCTTAGGTATTTTATCCTTATAAAGTTCTCTGGGTTTTAAAATTTATATTGATTTTACTAGAAAGTTTTATTTAGCCTTTATTTATTGTTCTTTATAAGAAAAAAACCTACTGGGAGTTTAAAATAACGTTTAAATCATTTTTGGGTCCTTAGTTATTATTTTTCTTTCTTTTTGCTTTTTTTTCCTTTAAAGCTGTGTTGAAATCCTTGTCTTCTGTAGACCCAGTGGAACCCATAAGTAATTCAGAACCATCAATGGATTCAGATATGGGGAAAGTTGGTAAAAATGATACTGAAGAAGAAAATAGTAAACCCTCCATAACTGATGATGAAATATGTAGTAGGACTGAGTATTTATGTGAAAACCCTCTAGATGGTAAAAATAAAGACAATTCTACAAATGAAGTCTCCCTGCAAGGAGCTGAAGAAAGAGTGTGTTATCACTGTGAAAGTGAAGATGACTCTCCACAGGCAGATGTTGGTGACCTGCCCACTGCCCACCCAGTTCCCAGGGATTCACCACATCCCTCCATTAAGCAGAGGCTGGCACGGCTGCAGCTGCCACCGGATTTTACCTTCACTGCTGGCCTCGCTGCCGAAGTGGCTGCTCGATCTCTCTCCTTTACCTCCAGGCAGGAACAGACTTTTGGTGATGAGGAGGAAGAACAGTTAATACAAGAAAATAAAAGTGAGGTAGAAGAAAAGTAAGAACCAAGATTTACATGAAGGATTTTTAACTGTTCCTTTTATGAAAGTGTTTTTTAGCTTCGAGACTAGATATTACACTGGAAAGGGAAATTAAGTGTGAGTTTACTATACATAAAGCTAAGGTGTGACTTTACAGGAAGAACCCTGGTTTGAACAACTGATCTGAAATTAGCAATTACCTGTATGGCAGATCTTTTAGGAAAATATGAGAAAGGTAAGGGCTCTTTTGAATAAACTGCTGTTTTATTTGCAGCACAACTGATCAGTCTTGGAAATTCTTTAAGTACTTTTAATAACAAATGAATTTATCATTTCTTGCCAGAATTTGCTACCACAAGATGACTGGGATAATTCTGTTGCAAGAACATTAACATTTAGTATGACTCCTTTTTACTATTTTCTCACAGTTAATAACTGCAGCTATTATGTTAGTAACAGGTTGTTTGTATTTTATTTTTGTTTATACCAAGTCTTAAAACAAAGATACAGGCTATGAATAAAAAAACAGTTCTCATGCAATTGATGTGTACTGGGGTTTGGAACTAAAAAATAGTTTTATAAGTACTTCGGTTACGACGTGTTTCTCATGTTTTCCTTGTGTGCATTCAGTAGTTAATTTTAAGATTTCCTAATATTTTTTTAAAAAACATTGTGCCATTTTAAGAATTACCCTTTTAAATTTTTGTGTGTTTATCTTTTTCTGTTTTTGTTGCAACTAGAAGAGCGGATTTCAAAGTGGGATCCCTGTGGTCCAAGACCTCATCCCCAACTTTGGAGAAAGTTCTTTTTATCAGTTTGTCCAGAGATAATGGATCATTAACAAATATGCAGGCAGCCGTGCTGCTGATGTCTTGCTTTAGGCCGTCCCCTGTCCACCTGAGTAAGATTCTGGAAGCATCCTGTCAGCTTCCTGGAAAGCATCCTTGTCTCCTTAATACTTCATTTATAAACTACCTCTTAAAAGAGGCTGCTTTCCAAATTGTCCAGTCTCATTGTGTTGTGATTGCATTTTCTTTCTTTTTTTTAATTGATTTGAGAGAGAGAGAGAAACACTGATTTGTTGTTCCACTTATTCATGTCTTCATTGTTGGATACTTGCATGAGCCGAAACCGGGGATCGAACCGGCAACCTTGGCTTATCGGGAGGACGCACACTCTAACCAACTAAACTACCTGGCCTCGACCATGATTGCATTTTCAAAGAGTGATATTTTCAGGACTATATTGTTTTTTGAAACCTCAGTGCACTGACATCATTTATAGACGTTACTTGGGGAAAATGTAGCGATAACTCAATTTGTGCTCTAGAAAGAAAATTCATGATGAATCTAAATTGTCTTTAGAATTAAGAAACACATTCAAACTCCTACAACTTAGCACTTAGAGTGAGTAAATTTTCATACCAAAGGGTGTATTTGTTTGTTTGTTTCAGTAATCGAAGGAAATTTATTTTTTATCCTGAGGAAAAACTGGTTTCTGTTTTACTTGAGCAGTAGTAGAGATCCTTTGTACTATAAGTGATTCTGCCAGTTGCCAAAAATTCTGTGACTTATCCACAGGTTAGCTCTTAGGAGCACTTCCTAAGAGTGGGCCTAGTTTACAACTTAGAAATAGTAATAACATTTAAAGTTTACTTTCTTTTTTTTAATTCTCACCCGAGGATATGCTTCATTGACTTGGGGGGGGGGCGAGAAGGAAAGAGNTACTTTCTTTTTTTTAATTCTCACCCGAGGATATGCTTCATTGACTTGAGGGGGGGGGGGAGAAGGAAAGAGAGAAGCATCGATGAGAGAAACATTGATCGGGTGCCTCCCGTAGGCGCCCGCCCCAGGGATCAAACCCACAACCTAGGTATGTGCCCTGACTGGGAGTGGAACCCATAACCTTTCGGTGTATGGGAGGAGTTTACTTTCTTTTTAAATTAGTTTGCCAGTTCCTTTTTTCCTTGAATTTAGAAGAAGTAATTAAGGAAAAACTTGGTAATCTTTCTCTTAGTCTGTAACCTTACACAGTAAGAATTAGAGTTTAATAATTTTTAATTTTGTTATCTTTTTTTTTTACACCAGTTTGGGGAAAATCTTCATAATATTCCATCAGTTTTATTCAATGCTCTCTAAGGTGATACATTTTCATTTTGAAGGGCTACTTTAATCAAGAATTTCTAATCTTCAAGTCTAATCTGTTTTATTCATTAGTTGTTACTTAGTTCAGTGAAAATTCTATTTGGTGAAATCATGATATAAGGATCTTAAAATTTTAATTGAATGTTTTTATAGTGTCTGTAATTTTCAAGTTTTCTTCCATCTTTAAAAATATTTCCAAGATAAAATGTTATCTTCCCTGTGAAAATTCCTAATTTTCTCATAATAGTCTAAAAGTCACTGTAGTCACTGTTTCTCCATTTTTCCATGGGGGCGCCTATATTACAATAAATTGGAGGTCTTATTTTTAAAATGCAGATGTGGGGCCATCCTCCCAATTGTTCTTAATCGGTCATTTCTGAATAAGACCTAGGTGATGTCTATGCCCAGTAAAATCTAAGAACCTCTGTGTTGGACTTTTTGCTTCTTGCCATGAATACCTGAAGAAATAAAACAGGCCAATGTAATATAAGTAGGTATTCTTGTTTGTTACTTTTCTAGGAATATTTTACTTTGTCTTCATAGCTGCCATCCCACATCCAAAAGAAACCCTTTGGGGAAAATGTTTTGTGGGTAAAATTTGTAATTGTGCTTTCCATATTTTACAATAGTATTTTGATAGGATAATTCTTGTTAGTAGTTAATAGCCTCACAGCTTTTAATACAAACATTTCCATAGTTTGTTTTACACCTAGTACTTAAGGTAAGAATGCATGGAAAAAGGCTATTTAGGTCAGTCTTAAAGACAGAATTTTTACCCTTTGTCTATAGTTAGGAAAGTCATGTCAATAAATGATCTGGTGACAGTTGTATCTTAAATTCTTTCTTTTTTTTTTTTGGCTTTCATTAAAACTACATGCCTGGCCTGTGTAGTGCCAGACCCTTGCTGGTCTTTGATTTGTGGTCCTCTGCTGATTTTCACAAGTTTTTGATATTATCTGACTTTCATAAGTTAAGTCCTCATTAAGCCTAATTGTACTTATAGCATCTGAATATATTTCATTAGGAAATGGTACATTGACTCAAGTTTGATTGATGAAGTTATTGGAGACAAGCAAGTCAAGAGAAACACACTGAAGGCAAATTAGTAAGGAAACTTAAGAATATTGGTTTAAGGGTTTAATACAGAAGGATAGGCCTCAGTTTAAATCACAGATTCAGCATTTAAAAGCTGTGGGTGCAGCTGACTTAATAACTTCACAAGGAGTTTTTCCAACAAAACCCAAATCCTATAGATTGCTACATTAGGTTTGTGATTTTCCCCCTCTCTTTGAGGCTAAAAAAACAAGATCTGGAGACTAAAAAAACGAGATCTAGTTATAAATATGTTAGTAAAATCAGTCAAAAATTTAAAAACTCAATTTTCATTAAAAAATAGTAATATTCTGATTCACATAGTAAAAGTGGTAAAGCTTTTAATGTTAAAAGCATAAAAAGATTCAAGTTCTGGTCATTTCACAAAATTATAAATCAATGAAGTGTTAGGGCTGCTGGAGGTCATTTCACTCTGGTGACTTATTCATACACCATCAGTAATTAAAATATGAAATATTTGGGTATATTGTTTCTATACCTAAACAAAACAAGGAAACGGGAACTAAAAACCATAAGACTAATACAGCTCAGCCAGCTCACTATTATTCATGCCATGAGTGATAGCCAGACGAAGCATAAAGGTTGATTTATTCTCCCAATTATATTTATAAGAATGTATCTGTGTAATTCACATTATATTAGAACATGAACCTACCAATGTCTTAGAAAATATGGGAAAATGCCCTAAGTATAACAACAGTTGATTTACCTGTAATCACTGATGGATGACTAACTTGTGTAAGTTAATTTTTTGGGTAACTGAGGCAAATCCATTTAATTGTTAAATTTTACAAGTACAGTAGGAAATTTTCTACAGTGTACCTTCTACTTCACTTTTTCTTAGAGTATTTAGGATATAATTTTAACTTTTTTTTTTTGTCATCTGTAAGAACATCAGTTCCTATCATGGGGTGACAATCAGAAATTCACCCTCAGGGGCTACTGACATATAATGCCCCTTTACTATGCCCTGCTTGATATGCTTTTTGAGTTACGTCTGTTTTTCACACTTTCTCTGTCTTCCCTTATAATCAGCCATGATTTTTTGCTCCTGTATTGTGTGCCTGCCTCCTGCACTAGGCCCCTAATTTGCTGCTTTAATCTGCTGTGGACTGAGAAACCAGATTGCCAAGTTTGCTAGAGTTGTGTCTAAAATAAGAGTAAGTAGACTGAAAGAAGGCGAAGGGGCTTTTCTGTCAGTAGTGTGCATGGACTTTGTGGAATCTGTCTGGCTTCTTAGCATACTTTTGTTTGCCTCTTAGCTCTTTACTAAGAACTTGCTAAAAAAACATTTGGTTGTATATGTGATTGCCATATATTTGAAGTATTAATTCAGTTTTTATATATCGATGTTGCTAGGACTCTCCATTAATGAATTCAACTATAAAAGAATTTGACTATCATCTTTGTATAAATCATTGTATATATTTTAGGAAAATGTTAAACATTTTGTTCTGAGTTGTTCCTAGTATAGTGTACAGACTTAAAAATACAGCACTGTAAATGTGATTTCAACTCTGTTCACCAAGATTTATATTCTAGAACTATTGGTTTGAGACTAAACGTGCATTGCTAATTTGGTAAGAATTGGGTAAATGAATTTTGGGAAAATGAGTCATTCTTTATATCCCAGTTTTCTATAGAGCTTAAAGTAAGCATTAAAATTTTTTGGAATAAGTTTTGAAGGAAATCTTTTTAAAACTTAATATGCATTGTCATTTTAAATGATATATGAATACATTTTAATCTTTTTTGATGTCAAAATGGTCGTTATTAACAGTAGTTAATTATACTGTGATAAACTAATTAGGCACCAAGAGCTATATGCCCTTCACTAAATGGTTCCATTCTGCTGTGCTTTTTTCGTTTTCTTGTCTCTGTTTTTTAATAGTTCTGATTCCTCCAGTTTACATTACTGCTTAAGTGTGCCTAAAGCAATAGCCTTTCTCCATCCTCATAATGCTCCGTCTAGTCTGCATTGGTTTTGGAAATAAGGTGGCTAAGACTGCTAGAGTGATGTATAAAGAGTAAACTGACTCAGTGAAGACCCAAAAAAATGGATTATACTTAAGTGCATGGTATTACTTTAGAACCTGTTTCATTTCTATCTTGAAAATAAGTGAAGTTACTAGATTAGGTACCTGCTCTCAAAGTAGAAGAGCTTTCATTGTACAAAAGGAACCATTTTGTTTTTATACTTTACCTTCTCTGTATTTCTATCCTCTAACTTTTTGGTTCCTATTAAAACCAGTCCACTCAAATTAGCATTTCTACAGTACTTTC